TCGGTGGGGGGGGATCGGGGTGCGGGGAGCCGTGTGCGGGGATCGGGGATCCGTGTGCGGGGATCCGTGTGCGGGGATCGGGGATCGGTGTGCGGGGATCGGGGATCGGTGTGCGGGGATGGGGGGCGGTGTGCGGGGATGGGGGGCGGTGTGCAGGGGGTGCCGGCCCCCAAGCCGGGATGCAGGAGTGCTGGGGGCCTCCGCTGCCGATCCTCCCGCAGCCGGGGATGTTGGGGGGCTCCGGCGCAGCCGGGGTGCGGGGTACGAGGCGGACACCGGCTCTGAAGCCGTGCGCCGGGCGGAGGAGAGCTCTGCAGCACATGGGCACGGGGTGCCAGGGGGCCTGGAGCTCCCTGAAGCAGGACCAAGGTGCAGAATGCTAGGGGTGTTTCAGGGTGCCCCAGAGTGGGACCAGGATAATTTGGAGCCACCCACGGTGCGGGCTGCTTGGGGTATCCGGGGTGCTGTGGAGCAGGGCCGGGGCACAAGGCCTGGGGGACACAATGTGCTCTGTGATGGACAGAAGGGTGGGATGCTCCAGAGAGGGTGGCACAGGATACCTGGGGTGCCTTAGCTGTCTGAGGCTCTCCAGAATGCGAGTCGAGTGCTGGCTGTGGTGCTCCGGAGCAGGGCAGGCTGGTGAGGCTGGGTTGCCCCAGATGCCTCTTTGCATTACCCTCCATGGAAACCCATCGTGTTTGGGGGCAAAGGGGCACTCTCCAAAGTACACGGGAAACTGCACCCCCCTCAGATGCTCTATTTGCCCAGAACTGAATAAATTCAGACCTTGTATGTGGACAATCCCCTTCCCACTCACAGACCCCCAGGATGGGCTCGGTTTCACGAGGGAGATGCATCCCCTCAGCACACAGCCATCCAGCAAAAAGTCAGCAGCTCTTGCACAGCAGGTGCCGAGAAAAACAACTGAAATCTGGCAGCTCTGGAGCTTAGTAGATCAGAATTTATATAAGGATGATGCACATTCCCCAAGGGCTCATTTGTGTGTCCCCAAAAACAATCCAAACCCATGCACGCACTGGCAGGGCTGCTCAGGGAGAGAGATCACCAGCAGGACCTCAGTGCCAGTGAAACCCATGCCCCACTGAGGGAATGGCTGATGGAGGTTTGGGCTGTGGAGCAGGTTTTGTTTCCAAATCTATTGCAATTATATTAAAGAGTTCATGAGTGGTTTTAAAAGCTCAACAACCAAGCATTTTATGTGGGCTTGATAGACTTTATTGCTTTCTCCGTTATCTTTTTAAGAGATCTCTCTAAACTGGAGAAATATCAGGTGACATTTGGTAACATTGCCCTGAAAAGCTGAGCATAGCATTAAGGACAGTGGTCACCCTGGAAGCATTGGAGTCTGTCTGGGACTCTGCCCAGCAGAGGAATTTTCCATGTCCCCATCTGCAGGGTCATTCTTTAGTTCCCCCCTCCCACCCCCCTGCCTCAGAGGACCTCGCACATCCCTTCCCCCAGCAGCTCTCACATGGGCGTTTCTCAGGTGGACAAAACTCATTCACACCAGACACTCCCCTTTCATGGTTTAGTTCTCACCATGGCTCGTTTTTCCACCAAAACCTGGCTATTGACTAAAAAAATAATTGCCACCAGGGAGGCCTCACCAGTTTTGCCTTCAGTTTACCCCTCAAGAAGGGCACGTTCCTGGCTCGTGAGCCATGAAATGAGGGTGATTTTAGCTACCACAGCCAGTGTTGCAGCAAAGTGCACAATTAGCTGTTTGTGTGGCTCAGCCTGGGAGCAGCAGCCCTTTGTCAGCTGCTGTCAGGTGAGGAGTACAGCATCTTTCATCACCCCAGCCAGTTCCCCTGGGAGACATCGGGCTGTTCACCCGGGACCTGCCTCGTTCTTTCCCTCACCTCCTGATTCACTCCACAGCCATGTGTGGGCTCTCCAGCGCCTCACAAGCAGAGCAGACGTGCTGCTGCTTTGCATAATACAGTTTAAAATCAATCAAGCACGACACACGAGGCCATCGCAAACCAGGCTTCATTAGCACCAGTGTGCAAGAACATTTTGTTTTCTTCAATCCATCCAGAGCTGAGCTGGTTCAGCATTCCAAATGCTTTCTCTTGTCACTGCCCTGTTTGTGCTGACTCAGTACATAGCTGCAAAAGGAAAAAAAAAAAAAAAAAAAAAGCTTTAAATGCTTAATGCTAACCATTCTTCTGGCCAGATGAGAACTTCACATCTTGCATAACAGAGGACAGATCACACTGTGTGCAGAAACTATTTGCAAAGGACAACGGGATTTATTTTTTTTTCCCAGTCTAGAGGTGGGAAATATCCCAGGGTCAGTGCAGGGTGAGGAGTTCCAGGTGTTGCTGCAGCTCCTCCTCTGGCTCCCATCCACACGTCCTTGTGCTTCGGCTCCAGCACAGCCTCATTAATGTGGTCCAGACTGCTGACAGCCCAGCATGGTGATCAGGGATTTCACACCAGCTGTGTTTGCTCATTTTTAGTGTATAAATATTTGTTACAAGCGCTGACACTTGTTTTTGACACATTAGGGTTTAAGGAGTGGCTCTGAGGTGGCAGCACCTTCCCCAGTGTCACTTTTTTTGTTCAGAGAGGAGGCCTGCGTGCTCCTTAGGGTGTCTTCAAAGGCACCACAAGCACTTGTAAACAGGAACATGCACCCTGAATGTCATGACCCCTTTTCCACACTGCTATCCCTGCTCTACCCACCAGCTTCCTCCAGCACCATCAGACCTGAAAATCCTGCAGCACAGAGGTGAAACAAGTTCTCCCATTTCTAAACCCGCAGAAGGAGGAAAGTGTCAGAATCCCAGCCGAGGAGGGGGAGTGTTGCTGTCAGCAAGGGCCACACTGGCCTCACAGTGGCATGTCCAAGTGCCAGGCAGAGTGTTCAGGCTCAGGCAAAGAGCCTCAGCACCTGTGCAGCCACACTTGTGTCCCAGCAGCACTGCACCTGGATCCTGGCTGTCTGCAAGCCTTGAGAGTTGGCCCAAGGAATTATTTTTATACCTCAGTACGTGCATATAACATGCAGGGAGTTATTTGCATCACCCTCCCTTCCCCCCCCCCCGACCCAAGCCTGTCAACAACTACATCAGCTTCCTGGAATTTTTTCCTTTCTTTCTTTACGTGACAGTATTTCTAGATTCAGGATGTTTTTAAACCAATGGGTTTCCCCATTTTCCACATGTGGTTCAAAGCCTTTCCTGGGAAGTGGAGCAAAAAGGAAGCAGGTGGTGTGGGAGACTCTTTGTCCTGAGCTCATCTTTTATTACCTGCAACTTTGCTGTCAGGTCTCTGTGTGCAGTTAGTGGAGCTGCTGCAGGCCTGGTTTTCTCTTGGCAGAGGCAGGCAGATTGCCACAGTGCTCCCTGAGATTTGAGATTCGAGTTCTGTTCTGTGCTGACCAGACAGTGGGCAGGAAGCAATCATAAAATACATGGTATTGTTCCCAAGTCCTGAAACTCTGCTGCTTGAGTGCTCAGAGAGGTCCTGACACTCAGTACAGAGGATCAGATGTAAACAGGGTTGGGGAATTAATAAAACTTTAATACTTTTTCCTTCTGAGTCATACTGGCTTTGCCTGAGGCAGCATCATTCCTAGAGAAATGAGTTGACTTTCACATGGATTGGTGGGACAGAGAGCTGCAAAGTAACATTATCTCATTGTTCATGTAAGTAAGCTTATGCCTGAACTCCTGGGAACTGGAGAATCACAGCTGGAGATTCGTATCTGGCTCATTTTAGTCTCTCGAGCCAAACATCTTGGCAAAGAGGTTGGCAGAACGTTATCGCTCAGTCTTGAAAGGAAGTCCCACATAAAATAGATGGAGATGTCTTTTTCCACAGCATGGGCAGTCATGTACAAACCACATCCCCCTGTGGAGAGGACACAAAAACAGATCAGAGCTGTCCCTAGGATGGGTGACAAGACCATCGGCTGTGGTGCAGAGTGCTGCAAGCTTGCCTTGATGCCTTGCAGTTGTTTTATTGGTATTTCTGTTGAAGCTGAAGATCCTCCATCTATAGGAGATCCCAAGGACGAGCCCAAAGTCAGCAGGGCTTGTTCAGCACCACCTGAACTCATGGATAACATAACAAAGTGATTAAAGGAGGAAAAGTCATAACAAGCCAACTCCCTGAGGACACTTTTCATTGCAGCAAGGTCCACCACTTCCAAGACTGGTGTCCAGGGAGAGCTGCATCCCGGCGGGCTAGACCTGCAGGTCACATCACCCTGGTTGGGGAGAGCAGAGCCTTTACTGCACGGTCAGACAGAAGTTGCCACCTTCACAGGCTGCTGTGTGTCCATGTGGCCGGTGGTGACACAGTGGTGTCCCATCACTGCACTGGGGACTCACCAGCTGCCCTGCCCCACTCCCCCACCAGCTCCAGTGGCCTTGGCTCCTTGCCTCAGCAAGAAGCGAGTACGTGCTGCCTCCCTCATTTCTTCCTTTTTCCACTTTTCCTGTGTAGCTCCCACCCACCTGACAGAGATGCCAGCAGGGCTGGCGGGCACCCAGCGCTGCCTTTTCTCTTTGCCAGAGGAGGCTGCAGTTGGCAGAGCCTGCTGTGCAGGGATGTCTCCGGGCTGTCAGGCCAGATCCAGGGTCTGACTTCCTCATCCTCTGCCATGGTCCTTATTCCTTCAGCTCCAGCATCTCCACCACCACTGTGTGTCCTTCTTGGTGAGGACAGAAGAGCTCTTGCAAAGCCAGTGGCTCAAATTCCGTCCAAAAGCTGTGTCTGACCACATGAAGAATGAAGCACCTTGATGTCTTGGGGAGAAATGCAGAGGGCTGCTAAGGGTCTCCCTGCAGTTCCCTTCCCCTCAGGCAGACAGAATGAAGCCCTGAACACACCCTGGGCTGGATTTCAGGCAGGATGAGCAGGCCTGTCTCTCTACCACAGTTATAGATAGCTGCCTGTGGGCTCCTGGCCTGTTCGCAGCAGTGGTGGTCCAGGCAAAGCTTTCTGCTCGAGGAGCAGACAAATATTTCTGTCTGTGCTTTTTTGTTCCACAGGCTGGCTCGCCTCCACCTCTGCTGCACTTTGAACAGCAGGTGAATCATGTTTGGGTAAGCCAGTCATCGCCCTGCCGCCAGCTCCTCCTTTCATAACACACAGACGTCACGGCTTCTAAAGAGGTCAAGTTGTTAGTACTCAGAACATTTGTCACCCAGAAACCTGTCCTGGTGGATCTGCCAGAGCAAATTGAAGGTTTTCCTTCTCAAGAAGCCTGGCACCATTCCACTGTGGGTTTTAGGAAGGTGTTGCAGCAAGGTTTGAGGAGTAAAGAGCCTGCTCTTCTCTTCTGAAAGAACAAATGCAGAATCCTAGAGAGGTTTGCAGGGCAGAGGAAGGTGCTGGGAAAGATATGTATCCTTAGTATCATTTTTATGAAAATTAATCCCAAGAATAAAGCTCTGCTAAAACTTTTAGCTGCTAATTAACATAGCAAATATTCTTAATTTATAGATATTTGGAAAGTTGTAGAAGGATGCAACAGAGTGAGGAGCAAGTCTGAGTGCTGTGCAGGAATCAGGAGCAGGGATTTCACCTTCCAAAACACCCTTCACTCATATGACTCCAGTTCCATTTGGGTTTTGCTTTTCTTCTTATTCAGCTCAAAAATAGAAGAGTGGTTTCATAGGAAACCTCTGCCCAGCACTCTGCAGAGATTAGCAGATCATAAGCAGGGCTGCAGGAATCAGCTTTTCTGGGAAAGTCAGGATTTTTAACTGTTTCCATTTTTTAGTGGAATGAAAAAGCAGCTTGAAATTTTCCATGAAGAAGGTCACTTGGGAACAGAGGAAAGATTTCTTTTTGATCTCTACCTTAGAGAGCCTTGTTTCCCTAGTAGGACACTTTATTATATAAAGCCCCTAGATGCAAGATGAAAAGTCTCGTCACAAAATAAAGGCCCAACCTTTCTGTTCTGAAATTGTTGGCATTTATAGAAAAATTCCTTTATTTGGTGGCATCTCTGCATGAAATGGTATAGGAAACAATTTTTTCTCCACACCTAAACTCTCTTGGCATTTCTGCTGCTATGAGGCCCCAGACAGCCACGTGCTGTGCAGGATCCCTGCAGGCACCCCCAGATACTGTGAGCAAGGGCAGCACAACCCCTCCTGCTCCCCGAGGACCAGCCAAAGTTATTATATAAATCTGTGTAAACAACACTTGCTTAAGTAACTCCACGGCTGACAGTTTCTCTTGTTGGTTCTTCTTTTCCTACTCCGCCCCTCCAGAGCTTGGTGTGATGGGCATTTGGCCCAGCTCTGTGCTCCATGCTCCTCTCCCAGCCAGCTGAAGACAGCAGCTCTGAGGAACCCCTGGCTGAACCTTGCAGATGCTTTGAGCAAAGGAGGTGAAGTCAGACCTCAGACCCAGCAGGGCTTGGGCAGCTGCTGGCTGTCACGTCTGTGAGCAAACACCCATCTCAGCACATCGAGCTCATCCTGGGAGATGTGTCCCTCAGGAGAGCTACTGAACTGCTGTGACTGAAGGTCCACAGCATCCCCAAAAGCCAGATGCTCCACCTGCATTTTGCCTCCTCCACTAAGTGTTTTTAGAGCCCTAATCCCCACGGCTGGCACGAATGTTAGGGCTCTACGCCCATTCTCATCACCCGGCTCCAAGCCAGGGCTGAGATACAATGAGGAATTAGGAATTAGAGAACTTGTAATGGTTTTCACCTCCTCAACTTTTTGGGCAAACTTGGCCAGTTCTATGAAGGCAGGACAAGGGTGCAGAGAGGTGAGAGCTGCGTGCGGGGCAAGGTGGGATGGAGAAGCTCGGCTGCCGGAGGAGACGGGTGGATGTTCACACAGCCAGCCCCTGGGTGTGTTTGCCTCTTTACTCCTGTGCCACGGGGATCAGGCTGCACATGCTGTATTTGCACAGAGCTTGGTGCAGTGGTCTGAAGCAGGGGCTGTAAAAGACAAGCAGCAGACAGGAAGGCTTCTCCTGCTTGGCACTCTCCATCCCCCAGCACGGCAGAGAGTGCCCAACGCTGGCCCTGAGCACGTGGAGATGCTGAGACCAGGGCAGTGTGAGGACATGGCTGTGGGATCAGCTGCACACAGACATTTGCAGGCTCCACACATTTGGGGAGCTGGTGCACAAGGCACAGAGGACAATTTCAGGGCTTTTAGATGAAATACCCATCAGCTGAAAAGCAGAATCCCACTCCACTGAGATGTAACAGCATCAACAGGCAGGCTTGACATCAGAGTCTGGCACACCATGCTTGAAAGTTTTCCAACCTTTATCTTGAAAAGCAAAAGCTCTCCTTTTCATGTCCAAACACAGAATTTATTCCAAGATATTCCCATCCTGTAGTAGTGTGGCCTGAGGGGATTATAAAATTCTGCAACTCCATCTACTATTTGGAAGTAGTTTGTGTCTTGTGCAAGAGTCCTGTGTACTTGCACAGAGGGAAAAGTAAAATATGTAAAATAACCCCCCACAAGATTATTTTACATTAATGCACCCAAGGGTTCAGGAAGCAATAAGGCAGTTAAAATCAATCTTTCCCTGCTGAAGCCAAACCAGCTTATTGAAAACCAGTTTAGCTTTGGGGTTGTTTGTTTTTCCCATCTTCATGTTTTCCCTTTAATCTTTGTGCTGGATAATTAAGACAACATTCCTCAGCATCTTTCCTGCTGTTTGTTGTGCTTATACAAGAGCTGGCTGCATTAGTTCCATGGAAAGAACATCCAAAGCCACATTCTGTGGTTTCAAGTAAAATCCTCCGCGGTGTTGACTTTTAATCTCGAGTTTGCCTGAAATCTGCATTACTCAAGAAAATACTCATAAAAATAGACTTCTTAAGGAGAACAAAACAGGGCAGCAACACAGCAGGGAGAGCTTATACTCAGGTTTGCATTGAACTTTTTATTGATGATGAGACTTCTGGGCTTGGCCTAATTCTGCCTGCTGGCAGCAGCAGTGGGTCAGGGTGCTGGTCCCCTGTCCCCCTCCGAGGTCCCTTCTGCTGCCGGCTGGATCCTGCCAGCATCCAGGGCCCCCGGAGCGCTCCCTGCTCCCGGTGTTTTCCCTGTTCCCGGTGTTCTCTCTGTTCCTGGTGCTCTCCCTGTACCCGGTGCTCTCTCCCTGTTCCCGATGCTCTCCCTGTTCCCGATGTTCTCTCCCTGTACCCGGTGCTCTCTCCCTGTTCCCGATGCTCTCCCTGTTCCCGATGTTCTCTCCCTGTACCCGGTGCTCTCTCCCTGTTCCCGATGCTCTCCCTGTTCCCGATGCTCTCCCTGTTCCCGATGTTCTCTCCCTGTCCCCGGTGTTCTCTCCCTGTCCCCGGTGCTCTCTCCCTGTCCCCGGTGCTCTCTCCCTGTCCCCGGTGCTCTCTCCCTGTTCCCTGTAGCGCTGCAGGAGCCTTACAAAACAGCCGAGCGATTATGAAACCCGTCCCCCTGTGCCAGACATCTCATTCCCGGTAGATGGCGGTGCCAGCTCATTTTTCCTAATTTTTCCCACTTATTTTTTTCCTGGCGCCGCGCCCGATGCCGGCCCTCGGCGGCTGCGGCGGGGCTGGGGATGAACAGGCACGGCCGCTGCGCTGGGGTCAGTGCTGCAAAAAGAGAGAGGTTTGTCGGGGTTTTTCCCCCCTAAAGCTGCTTTTCGTTTGTTTCTGATAAATTTGAAATCAGTTTTAACAGCTCAGCACAGCACCAGGCGTCTGTCCCCCCTCACGCTGCTCCATCCCACAACAAACGGCGTGGAGGGCACAGGGAGGATGTTGGGATGCCGGATCTGGAGGGACTATGCAGAGCCAGGCAGGCAGAGCCGCTGCATTTCTCTCCAGACTCTATCACGTTCTTGTACAAAACCTGCTCACCCAGCTCCCAGCTCCCCAAATCCTATTATTGCCTTTCCTTGAGTGTTTCCTTCTGCAGAGGGACAGACAGCACTGGGTAGGCGGTGTGCCTGGGTGAATAAATAGCATTTCTCTTTGGAGATCACAACATCTTTATTTGGCTAAGAGTGGCCCGGTCGCCCTCCAGCACAAGCTGCTGTTTCCATCTCCACCTCCTCGGAGTGTGCAGGGCATGTGCTGCTGCTCCAGCACGGGAAGACTAATCCTTGTCTTCCTTCTCATCATCCTTGGCAATGCCTTGGTCCTGGGGCAGGAGCAGAAAGAAAAAAGACAGCATGTGAGGGGAGTGCTGAGGGTCCCATGCCAGGTATTTGGTAGCATCCCCACTGGGGTTTGTAGGAGCGAAGCCCCCAGGGCTGGGGTGCAAGGGGGAGCCAGGCTCCAGCACAGAGCTGGGGGTGAGGTTACCTCCTCCAAGTCACAGTCAGAGCTGCCGCCACTCCTGTCCTCTTCCCCATCTCCCTGCTGGGGTGAAGAGAGAGGGACAAGCATCACTGGGAAGCCTGGCACTCTGCTGTTCGAGCCAGAGCTCCAAGTCAGAGAGACTCCTGGTCCTGTGGGTACCCAGAGCCAGGTCTGGCACTGCTGGTGCTGCTGTGGAGCCACGTGTGACCACGGCACCACAGAGCCCTCCAGAGCCAAGAGCAAGGATTTCACAGTGTGTACAATGCAGGCAGCATCTCTGTCCACACCAGCATCTCATTTGGAGGGAAAAAGGAGGGAGAACTAACTGGGAATGTTGAGAGCAAAGAGACAGCTGTCTCTCAGTGGAAAAGCCATGGACACTGATTTCTAGGCTGTGGACAGCCTAGCACCATCTCCTACAGGTGTGGGTTTGCCACGGGTCTGACTTTACAGACAGATGAAAATGGTTCTGCAGAAAACTCCATCATTCCCCTACCTTATCTTCTCCCTTCTTCCTCCTCTTCTGCTTCTCCTTCTCTTTTTCTCCCTCAGTCTTCTCCTTCTCTTCCTTCTCCTCTTTCTTGTCCTTCTCCTCTTTCTCCTTATCTTCCCGTCCAAACCCTACAGCAGGGCAGAGAGGAAGGTTCATTGGCAGCGTGCAGCATCCAGCACACACAAACCCTGCAGGTACCCTGGGCCCACAGCAAACACTCACATTTCAGGATTGTCGACATTTCACCAAAGCCAAAGAGCTCTGGGGCACGAGACAGTCACACCTATGGAACAGAGAGGACCTGAAGGAGCAAACAGAGAGTGCAGGAAGGTATTTCAGGGATAAAAACACTTCCCTGGAATGTTCTGTTTTCACAGAGGCCCTGTGTAATTTCTACCATCCAAAAACAGCAGGGAAGGAGATCAAACAACCTGTGGGCTGCACAAAAACCAAAAGGACCAGACCTTGTGCCCACCCAGGCAGCCCCCTCTGCCCAGGAAAGCAGCAAGTAGAGAGTGATGGAGGCAGAGAAATCTCAGGGCAAATGTGCAGGGAGATATCTTAACCCCCCACCATGAGCAGATGCAAATTACAGAAGTATTTCAGATTAAATGAGGAAGAAACAATAAAGAGCAGGTGTGGGGGCTCCTAGGAATCCCCAGCAGAAAAGAAACCTTCCCTGAGGGACAGGGTGATGGCAGAGAGGGAGATGGAGACAGCAGAAAGCAGAGAAGAAGCCAAGAGCAAGGGTAAGAAAACTCCCAAGCATTGATTAGGTGCCTGAAAGGTGACAGATGAAAAGAAAGGAAAGGAAACAGCTTGCTTTAAAAATAGGAAGCTCAAACAAATCCTAAGAAATGGCCTAGGCAGGTCAAACCCTCCCTCTCATACACAAACAAGGCAGCAGGAGTGAGGGGATCGGGTCCCTTCTGCTCACTGGGAAGAGCAGATCCTCCCCTGCCACAGCAGGTAATTAGGAAATAGTTTCTCTTCCAGCCAGTGATAGAGGGAGGCAGAATATTAATGCTTCCTTTTAATGGTTTTTAGCCACAAAATGACATCATCTGGTTGGTATTATTGGGCCTTTTGAAGGAGCCAGTTGCAGCCTCTGAGCTGATAATGCTGATTTGTATTTTCCAGGCAGGTTTTTAAACCCCCAGGATGCTGCAGGGGAGCAGGAAGCAGTGGGGTTTGGGTGGCATCGAGGGAGAAGGAGTTTGGATGGGAAGGAAAGGAGTGTGGGAAGTGACTGATAGAAGATGTAATCAGTGCAAAGTTAAAATCTAATTAATAATGAACAGCAATCTAATTCATCTCCGTAATTAAGAAGTGCAACTACTAATTGAAAATAATCACATTTTAATCTAAAATCATTAAAAGTAATCAAACATTAACAAAAGAAAAGGCAGCCTTGGGAAGGGGGTAGGAGAAGGTGTTGGTGACGCTCTGAGCCCAGGTCCTGCTCACCAAAGCTGCCCCACGGCTCCCACGGTGTGCCCAGCCCAAATCCATGAGGATGCCCCTGCTTTGTGCCTCCACTGCCGGAGGGGAGCAGTTCAGGAAAGCCAAGGTACAGATAGGGAAAGCACAGAGGTGAACATCAAGCTTTGCACTAGATGGGCAACCAGGCCAAAGTCCAGCAGCCAGGGCTGGGAAAGGATAGCTCTGCCCCCACACATGCCAAGAAATGCCTCTGTGGGGGGCTAAACCCCTTTAATCCCCCCTGCACTGCTACCCCTGTCCCTGGGGACCAGTCCTGCTGATTTCCAAGAGATGGGGTGGGCTCTGACAAGCTCCTGTCTGGGTGGTGCCACCCAGCACCCTGTGCAGCCCCTGCTGTGGGCACTGGCTCCTGATGGCTGCCAATAATCAGCTTTACCCTATCCCGTCCCAGACCAGCAGATCTAGTTTTGCCTGTTCCTCTGGAGCCTTGGCTGCCTCACATTTAGCACAGGCAGGTTTGCCTGCCCCAGATGAGCTGGTTTCCTAAAGCTCAGGCAGGCAAACCAGCAAAACCCAGCAACCAGCTGATGGTCCCCACGGACCTGCTGCAATCGTCCATAGCCCAACTGGGCATGAAGTGAAGACCTCTGGCTAAGGCAGCAAACCTGTGTCTTCATACCCTTCTAGATGAAGCCTGAATGGCCTTACCAGCCCAGGTAAAACAGGCTCTCAGTGAGCCCACTCCCATCTCAGCCAGGATTCTGAAGTCCTTCCCACAAAGCTCAGGCCCCCACTGCCATCCCCAAGACAACATGGAGCATGAGCCGTCCCAGGGATGCTCCTGCTGCACTCTCATTCACCCTGCTGTCCTACTCTGCTTCTCCAGCCTGGAAAATACACAGGTGAGTCTGTAAATTCCCTGGATGGCATAAGAGAAAAAGGGAAGGGCCTTACCTGGAGCTGAAAAAGGAGTGATCTCCTCAATGCCTGGCTGGCAGCAACCAGAGCTCTGAGTATTTGAGTGTTGTGGTCTCCTCCCCAGTCCCACTTTTGGAGCAGAAAAACTGGCTCTGCCATCCGTCATGGACAGCACATGACACCGGAAACGTGACCAGTCCCTCTGGTACCCACACGAGGCATTGCCTCCAGCACGGGCAGGAGCAGAAAGACCTTTTGCAAGCAAGTCAGGGCAGCTCTGGAGGCTGAAGACATCCATGGGGACCAGGCCTGGGACCAGGGAGAGCACTGGGGACTCAGTCTGGGAATGTGCTATGGTCAGGACCCTGCTGGAAGTACAGAAAAGGGGCTGCTGGGGTGGCAGGTGTCAGGCAGCTCCAGGAGGTCCAGGCAAGGCCGGACCAGGCAGAGCTCAGCAGCCCCAGCTCCCTCCCATGCTTGTCCTTGCTGCTGGCTTTCACTCCAACATATCATTAAGTCAGCAGAGAGCAGTTACCTAAACTGTGCAGAGTTACTAAGATGTGCAGAGAGCACATCTAAACACTTGCATAATGCTCCTCCCCTCTCATGCAATGCCCTCATTTCTAACAGCACCTCTACAGGATAATTACAGTAACAATAATGTCAGAAAGGGCTTGTGTACCCAGCTAATTTGTTTTCCCCACCTAATAGAAGGAATTAGCTCTCCCGTAAGATTTGTCCCATTTAACACCTCCGACTCTACAACAAAGTTGCTCCCACAATCATTTGACTTTCATTTACAGTAATTGCAGGGTGTGTGGAGCCCCCTCTGACAGAGTGAGTCTAACTCTGGGTACCCACACAGGGAGCAAGCAGCTCTACAGGAGTCCCTTGTCCCAAAACCTGTCTAATTCTGTCCCAGACCTCCTCCACCACAGCCTGCACTGGCCCCAAACCCAGAGCAAGAGTCCTATTGGCAGGTTTGGGTCAGAAATGAGGGATGGGTTTTAACGTCCAGGGCGGACAAACCCTGGAGCAGCTCAGCCAAGCCAGTGGCAGAGTCTCTGCTGCTGCCCAGTTTACAATCAATAGCTCTGGTGCACTTACAGAGATGCTTCAGCTCACACACAAATACACACTGAGGGAACTCCTGCTGCCAGAACTTGGAATAAACACTGGCAGCAATCCCATCTTGTGCCAGCATGAGACAGCTGCCAGGTCGGTGCAGCCAGGGAATTTGGTGGAAATGTGATCTGAAAACAGATTAATTTGGTGCTGGGACCAGCACAGGCATCCAAGCCACGCCTCTGAGCAGCTCCTGCCACCTTAGGAGGATCCTCCCCCACAAATACCAAACTCAAACTTATTTTTAACTGGTGACTGCATTGCTCACTCCCTGCCAGCCCCAGCTGAGCTCTCAGCCCTCTGAAGCCTCCAGCACCCTCCAGTGAGAACAGCCCAGGGGACAGCTCTCCCATTGCTCCCTGGACACAGGGACACAAAGCGTCACCCACGGAACCAGGACCATCCTGACCAGCAGGCCAGGCTGCAGCCAGCAGCATCTTCCTGCAGCAGGACAGCAGAGTGGCAGCCAGGGACACTTCTAGGTCCCAGCCCACAGACTGCACAGGCTCTGGTCTCACCCTGCAGCAGGCACAAAACTGTCCTTGAAGGAGGGAAAGCAACCTGCCAGCCAGCACCCAAAGCACCAGTGCATGGTAATCTCGAGCTGCTGTCATCCCAGACTCCCAGAAAACATGGATTAGCACAGTACAGGCCACTTTTGTCCTCTGTTTCTATGCCAAGGAGCCTTTGACTACAGAACATCCATCTCTGCTTAGGTCACATCATCATAGACCACTCTTTATTTCGGATTCAATGTGCACACCTGGGAAGGAAATGCCAGAGCCCTCCTCCTCCTGCCACAAGCTCCCCTGCTCCTGCCTCTGAGTCAGGCCCTTTAATTTGTGCTGTGGGTGACCTGGCACAGGTGTCCCTTTAGTCAGGGTGCCAGTGGCAGCATAGCTGCTGCTCCTTCCAAACAAGAACAACTGCTCATCCTGCCAGAGGTTCTGCTGCTACTGACCATGCGTGTTCTAATAATGGAGAATTAGTCCCTGGGAAGGTGGTTGGCAAGGCCTGGAAGCACATCCCTAAGCCCACTGGGAAGCCCAAGCCTTTTTTATGTTTTAAACCTTTCCACAGCGGCTGCCAGGAAGCAGCTTTTACAGCTGCAACTAACAGAATCACTCCCAGGGAAAGAAAACAATTGTGGAAGGCGCTTTTTTCCCCCCTCCAAGTCACTGCCAGCGTCTCAGCTGACTCTTATCTATTCTCAGCCACCTCTCACCTCCCCAAACACTACCAGAAGTGTTCAAATTACTGTCAGCTCTCATTAGGTTCACACAGAAGGCAAGGCCAAGCAGGAAGACCTCCAGACAGTTGGATGCTGAATTCTGATGAATCCTTTCAGTGGAAAGATTTCAGCAAACCGTGGAACTGTTTTTGTTGTCTATCTGTTGCAGTCCTTGCACTGGCACACAAATGAAGCTGGTGCATATTTGATTATTGGCTGCTGTAACAATTTCCAGGTGGGCACATGACTGAAGGAATTACTGTCTGCATGTTTAAAAAAGAATCACCTCATTTCCTTTAATTATTAAACTACTCTACACTAAAGCACTGCAGGTCAGTAGAATTTATCTGCAAAAAACCAGCTGCTGCTTCATAAAACCCCATTACGTTTATTTCTTCTCTTCTGACATTCTTGTACATTTTGGCTTTTTGGCAGGAGCAAAGCTGCCTTTTTGCACTGACACAGGAACTGGGAGCTCATCTGTGGGAGCTCTCACTCCCCAGCCTGGGTTCAGAGCACTGTTTCCTGCCATGAGAAAAATCCCAGCTGTCCTGGCCCCAGAGCTACACCCAGCTCTGCCCCAGAAAACACTATCAGGGCAGAGAAAAACACCCACAGTTCTTTTATTTCAGTCGTGTCCACTGCTACCTTGATAGCTTTTAACTGAAACAGTTGTCAAAACAAATCCTTTATTTAATAATGCTATCAACCAAAAGAAGAAAAAAATACAGATTTTATTGTAGTGCAGATTTTTTTTACCCCAGACACACTCCTTTCAAGCCCAGTTTTAAGATGCCAGAAAAAACTTTCCCTTTAGAGATCTGATCAGTCTAACCATGACTAAGGCAGGGCTTTTTCTCATATATATAAAATCAGAGCATTAGCCAAAAGGTATTCTAATACAAAAAACACTTCTCCACTGCACAACTAGAGCAGAGGAATGTTCTAAGCCTTGAGTGTAGCAGAGATGTGCAAGACCTGCTAAAACCCAGAGGATATTCAAAAGGGGATTTGAGCATCATTGTTACCAATGAGCAAGTGCAGAGGCAGGTGTGACAGTCACCTCTGATTAGCTATTATGGACTTCTTGAAATTCCATTTTAGCTCTGCATTTCTGCTCTTGTGATTCCAACAGAGGCTGCTGCCTCCCCATGGGCAGGCTCAAAAGATAAAGGAACAAAGCAGGAAACTTGCACAGCACAAAGAAACAGATACCATACATGGAGCAGCTTCTGAGGCAAATTAGGACTCCTACTAACAGAACCAAATTGCTGCCTCTCTCCCTTACTTTAATATATACCTTCCAAGAAGGAGCATTGCATTATGGTGTTTTTCCACAGAAAGAGAAGACAAGCAGTGTGTGAGTCTGTGAACAGCCTGTGGCTGACATGTCAAGCTGCACTGAAAAAGGGAAATCCTCCTGCTGAATTCTCTCATTAAAGTGCCCAAACACGAATCAATCCCTTTTAGTCAGTTCTCATTTATTGCTATAAAGCCAAGTACCTGCATTCTCAGGGCCAGATCAGCATTTTCCCAGCTCATGCTGAAGCAAGCACAGCATGAGAGAATGAGAAACCCTGGTGAGAGTCCCTGTCCCACATCCCTGAGTCAGTACAGACATCTTCAGGAAGCTGCACTTCTCCTCAGCAACAACAGCTTTATCAGGAATCCTCTCTGCTCTGTTCTGCCCAGTCTAAGAACTGCAAAGTTCATAATCACAAAAATTTGCCTCTTCTTGCACCTCCTATCCAATATTCAACACAAATGCAGAGCTATCAGGAACCCAATTATGTCTGACTTAAAAATCACACCATGATTTTAGCTAACTCTAACTAGCCAGCTGCTACTCTTCTCTTCAGCACCGGAGAAGCTCTCTGGACTGTGAACACAAAGAGCTTATTAACACATACAGCAGAGAGATTTCAGTGAAAAGATACAGACAGTCCATGAAACAGAGAAGCAATCTGCACTTTAAGTCTGTCACGTTGTCCACCAGCCTGGACTATGCTAATCACATCTCTCAGTGTGCTGGAAGAGCTGTCATTGCCAGACTGCACTTAATCACCATTCTTGCAGCAGCAGTGAACAGAGTTCATCTTTTTCCCTTTAATAAGAGCCATTACATCATTCTCCAGCATGGAAACTACGAAGTGGAAAGGTCAAAAAGTTCTTAATTAGAAGGAATTTTATTACTGTGATAGTTCCGTTCTAGCCTCAATAAGAGAAATCTGCAGTACAGGCAACAAGAGCTGGAAGGCATCTTGGATATAGGAAGCGCTGTTTGAAGCCTGTGAAAACAAAAATCAAAATACACAAATGAAAAGCCACACTACCAATCAGCTTTACTCACCACATACTCATTTCAAACAGCATTGGTTATTGCACAGAAAAAAAACAGAAGCCGAGTACTTGCTGGATTTTAAAGGCTTCCTTCTAGAATGTCAAGTTTTTGAGGGGCTTTATGCTACTAGGCAAAGAAAGCAAATGGCTTAAAGACTGCCAAACAAGATCAGTTCCAATCCAAATGCAGGATACTGTTTTCAGTGAGAGAAGAAATGTGTTTATTTCTAAGTGAAGCATAGCATGCAGTGGCAGGAAGGAAGAATACATGAACATGAAACACCCCTTTCCTACCACAACTCAGAGCTCTGCAACCGTGGGAACCAATTTGTCAGTAAGGAAGTGTTGGAACTCTTGCAAGCCAATTTCTGAACTTGTCTAAGGTTTAACTTTGGA